AAACCTTGTAATCTGTTACAGTTTATTTTCATCTTTTATTAGCAAACCAATAATCATCTTTTAAGTAAATTTCTCCCATTGGGTTATTGCTGAAAAGGTAACACCAAAGAACATGACATTGTATTTATAAATGCACAGTACCTAGAGCCTAGCTCTTCTTTGTATTTTAAATCAAAAGCTCAGAAACTGTACATGGACTCCTTTCTAAAACTGTCTCTTCTTACTTTTCAACATTAACTACCACTGTAGTAGTTTCTAATTATGGCAACATCCAAACGTAACAAAAACTTAGTATAATATGCAACAGAAGTCCATCAGGCATATTAAGTATGTGTTTCACAAATTTTACAGGATCCACAACACATTTTTCAATTCTAGACTAGTATAAATTAGAAGTCGTTCTATACAGATACAGTTATAGCATCCAAATTGAGTCTATAACTGGCACCAAATCTAGTAGTTTATATATGCAATTCAACAAAATTCAATATCCCTACAGTACACTTCAATTAATACCAAGTAACCTAGCTGCCACAGGACGGTCAATAATTTAGCTCTCTCCTGTTTTCCCCTGCAACTTCAAAAAAAGAAAAAAAATCAGGCTTAATCCTAACATACACACAAACCTTCAACAAATTAACTATAAAGAAGTAGACTTTCCAGACTTAGTAACAATACTAGTCATTCAGGAGAAGTCCAAGCTACTTCTTGTTCAATTACAACAAAACGCTAGCAAAGTAATTCTTACTTTTCCCCCTCTGGGGTAAAATTTCAACAAATACCTGAGCACCTAAAACGTACCAAGGGGGTGTATAGTAAACAGTGGAAACATGTTGTTCAGAAGACACATGTCCCTTGTCCCCAGGTGGAGTTAAAGATGAGTAGCTAAACCACAGTAGTCATGCTGGGCTCAGAAGAGTGTTTTCTGGAGCCACATGAGAAACCACACACAATTTGGGGCTCACGAGAATGTTTGAAAACAATATAAATCACCTTTGACAAGAAGTTTGAAAGTTAGAAGGCTTTTTCAGGATCTGTTTGAATGTGGCGATTTAAGACACTTAATACTATCTAATGTAGTCATAAAATGATATCTGTACTGTGTAAGTGCCAATTGATAATAAAATACCTATTGCTTTCATCATAATGGAAGTTTTCTCACCATGATCTAAGAAGGGAGTTGAGGAGGAGGAAGTGGTGGAGATCTCTGTAGAGCTTTCTGTACTATTTTAAGTTCATTTATCTGCAGGCCTCCATTTCACTTGGTTTTTTGAAAAAGATCTTTACCAGGACATCCTGATTTGCCAACTAAAAGAAATAAGATTTGTCTAGTGTATTTGTAGGTATGCTTTTGTGTCCTGTCAGACTTGGTTTAGTCACTGTAAAATGCTTGCATACAGCTTCCAAAGTAAACTTTAGGTAACCAGGCACAAGTTAAGGCTAAGGGGTCACTTAATCACTAATGGTAGATATAGAATGGGTTCTACTTAAAACAATGCTAAGTAGATCCTCTGCGGATACAAAGTATACTAAACAAAGTGACTTTAGAATGAAAGATGCAGTGATTTTATATATAAAGAAGGTCCATGCTTTGAGAATGGTAGAATATGTTGGCAGGCCATGGGAAAGGCAGGATGGGGAGTAACAGGCAACACAAGCTGTACCTTCCCTGTGCTTAGCCCCTGATGCTCATTTTATCCATTTCTTGAAATAATGATTGAATTACCATACCCCTATGTACAGGTTATAGAACTAAGTTTCAGAGAAATTAGGACACTTTGTAACATATAGGCGAGAAATTCAGTACTTGGATTTAAATCCAGTAATCTCAGCTCTGTGCATTATACATTGTATCTGACTAACAGAAAAAGGATGCAACACCTAGGATTAGAGCTTCCAAGAAGAAAGCAGATGAGGCTCCTTAATGTGAAATGTGTGCCAAAATATAGACAGGGAGAATATGAAGTGTGTGATGCACTGAATGCTTCATCCCTGTTCATCTTAAACTCTTACACCTCTTCATACAGCATAAAGCCAGTGTGCCAGGTGCACTGCCTGGGCGGGCCTTGTGAGCAGAGGGAAAGTTAGAAGTGCTGTGACCTGTGGAGAAGAAACAAACCCAGGTGGATATAATAAAAGAACATTTATGAAAGAAGTTGCTACTTCTTTCCCTGTTGAATTGTTTTAAAATGTTTTCAAGTAAGCCTGCTCCCCTTATTAAACCTGAAGTTTGCTACATTAATCAGAAAAAAATAGTTTCATGGTTTTAGTCTTAGGCCAGAAGTCACTCATGTCTGTATTCATATGAACTCTGTTTGTATACCAAGTATGTTTATGAGTTGAGCAAAGTTGAGTTTTATTTTTATAGTTTTAGTGTTTTCTCTGGAGATCAAACCCAGGGTCTTGCAAATGGTAGCCAAGTGTCCTACCACTGAGCCACACAATCAGTTTTCGGTTTCTAAATTAAAAAAAAAAAAATTAACTTGAAGTTCCTAGAACCAGAGCTTCATTTAAAACAGGATTTGTGTTGATGGGAATAGTATATTTAGCATTGTGGTTTTCCCTTGTGTAGTTGACTTAGAAGTTTGGAGGTGTTTCCTCTATTGTTTCAGAGGAGTATTTTACAGGAATTGAGCAGCTGACACTTGCCATGTAGTAGAACTGAATTGTGTTAGCATATAGTATAACCTGTTTATAATCCAGTCTTAATGGCTCTTGCTACTATTGAAAACCAGGTTGAAGCCATTGTTGTTATAGTTCATTATTTGATTATTACCATGATATTAACATTCTTTTATTGGATATTTTCTTTATTTACTTTTCAGTTTTATCCCTTTCCCCGGTTTCCCCTCTGGAAACCCCTTATCCAATCCCCCTCCCCCTGTTTCTATGAGGATGCTCCCCCATCCTGGCATTCCCCTACACTGGGGCTTCTAGCATTTACAGGACCAAGGGCCTCTCCTCTCATTGATGCCTGACAAGGCTATCCTCTGCTACATATACGGCTGGAGTCATGGGTCCCTCCATGTGTACTCTTTGGTTGGTGGTTTAATCCCTGGGAACTCTGGAGGGTCTGGTTGGTTGATATTGCTGTTCTTCCTGTGGGGTTACAGACCCCTTCAGCTCATTCAATCCTTTCTCTAACTCCTCCATTGGTGACCCCATAGTCAGGCCAATGGTTGGCTGAGAGTATCCTCCTCTGTATTTGCCAGGCTCTGAAAGAGCCTCTCAGAAGACAGCTATATCAGGCTCCTGTCAGTAAGCACTTCTTAGCGTTCGAAATAGTATCTGCATTTGGTGACTGTATATGGGATGGATCCCAGGTGGGGCAGTCTCTGGATGACCTTTCCTTCAGTTTCTGCTCCACACTTTGTCTCCACATTTCCTCCTGTGAGTGTTTTGTTCCCCCTTCTAAGAAGAAGTGAAGCATCCACACTTTGGTCTTCCTTCTTCTTGAGCCTCATATGGTCTGTGAATTGTATCTTGGGTATTCTCAGCTTTTGGGCTAATATCCACTTATCAGTGAGTACATACCATGTGTGTTCTTTTGTGACTGAGTTACGTCACTCAGGATGATACTTTTGAGTTCCATTCATTTGCCTAAGAATTTCATGAAGTCATTGTTTTTAATAGCTGAGTAGTACTCCATTATGTAAATGTACCAGATTTTTTTTTTTTTTATCCATTCCTCTGTTGAAGGACATCTGGGTTCTTTCCAGCTTCTGGCTGCTATTATAAATAAGGCTGCTATGAACATGGTGGAGCATGTGTCCTTGTTATATGTTGGAGCATCTTTTGGGTATATGCCTAGGAGTGATATAGCTGGTTCCTCAGGTAGTACTATATCCAATTTTCTGTGGAACCTTCAGACTAATCTCCAGAGTGGTTGCACCAGCTTGCAATCCCACCAACAATGGAGGAGTGTTCCTCTTTCTCCACATCCTCGCCAGCATCTACTATCACCTGAGTTTTTTATCTTAGCCATTCTGACTGGTGTGAGGTGGAATCTCAGGATTGTTTTGATTTGCATTTCCCTGATGACTAAGGATGTTGATCATTTTTTTAGGTCCTTCTTGGCCATTCGATATTCCTCAGTTGAGAATTCTTTGTTTAGCTCTGTTCCCCGTTTTTTAATAGGGTTATTTGTTTCTCTGAAGTCTAACTTCTTGAGTTCTTTACATATATTGGATATTAGCCCTCTATCAGATGTAGGATTGGTAAGTTGGTTGCTGTTTTGTCCTATTGACAGTGTCCTTTGCCTTATAGAAGCTTTGCAATTTTATGAGGTCCCATTTGTCTATTGTTGATCTTAGAGCATAAGCCATTGGTGTTCTGTTCAGGAACTTCTCCCCTGTGCCCATGTGTTCTTCCCCACTTTCTCTTCTATTAGTTTCAGTGTATCTGGTTTTATGTGGAGGTCCTTGATCCACTTGGACTTGAGCTTTGTACAAGGAGATAAGAATGGATCAGTTTGCATTCTTCTACACGATGACCTCCAGTTGAACCAGCACCATTTGTTGAAAATGCAGTCTTTTTTCCACTGGATGGTTTTAGCTCCTTTCCCAAAGATCAAGTGACCATAGGTGTGTGGATTTATTTCTGGGTCTTCGATTTTATTCTATTCTATTGATCTACCTGCCTGTCTCTGTACCAATACCATACAATTTTTATCACTATTCCTCTGTAATACAGCTTGAAGTCAGGGATGGTGATTCCCCCAGAAGTTCTTTTATTAAATATTCCAGACTTTAGTGTCTTGATCAAAACAAAATCCTTAGGAAATTGTCTGTTATGTTTTACTTAAGTCATTTCTGTTCTCTTACAAAGAGGGAAAAGAAGATAGAGATGCCTGTCAGATCCTTGAATCATTGGAGCTGCATAAACCCATTTTCTGTTCTGAAGGCTCAGAGAGCAATCAGAAATATTACATCATTCTTAGAAGATTAAATCTGTGTCCTCTAGTAGAAGTAATATATTAACGAAAGATTGTTTGCTTGCAGGGAAAATGCTGGTGAACCAGATTTCTGGAGCAGTTTATCCTATGAAATCCCTTATGGCGACTGTTCGGTGAGGCACCATCGAGAATTGGACATCTATACATTGACTTCTGAATCTGAATCACATCGTGAACCCCATGGAGACAGTTGTACTGGACATATTTCTAAACTTATGAATATCCAACAGCAACTAATGGTAAGGGAAAGTTTTCATTTTTAGTTAGGTGTCTGTCTATGCACTTCGCCCAGTGAGTCTTGCTATAATTAGAATGTAAATTTATAAAGCATTGTTAGTATGCAGTGTTGCTGTGCTGGTTAGTATTTTATCAGCTTGACACAGCAAGAGTCATTATGCAAAAGGAACCTCAGTTGAGAAACACCTGAATCAAAGTGAGCAAAGGCTCAGCACTGGGCTGGTAGTCTAGGGTTGTATAAGAAAGCTGAGAAAGCTGTTGGGTATAACCACTGGCTTTTCCACCCATGCCTGAGTAACGATTCAGATGCTTATTATTATTATTTTTTTTTAAAAAAGCCTGAGCCATTAAGTAGGCCTGTTCCCACTAGCTTGTAACTTATATTAACCCATTTATACTATACTGTCTGCCACATGGCTAGTTACCTCTCTTTAGTTTCATACATCCAACTTCCAGTGCAGACAGGGAATCTTCCCACCTTCACTATTTCCCAGAGTTCCTCTCAGTCTCTGCCGGATGTCCCACCTTGTAATCCTGCCTCAGCTTATTGGCCATTAGCTGTTTATTGACAGGTGATGCTTCTACACAAGAGATGATCCCTACAGTGGGGAGCAAGTCAGTAAGGAGTATTCCTCTATGGTCAACCAGCTCTTTCCTTCAGGTTCTTGCTTGACTTTCTTCCCTGACTTCCTGCAGTAACGGACCATCCCTGAGAGTTGTAAAATGTAATAAACCCTTTCCTTCCCAAGTTGGCTTTGGTCATGGTGTTTATAACAGCATAGAAAGCAAACTAAGACAGTTGCCACTTAATAAACAGAGCTAACATTAGGATTGTAGCAGTAGAGGCCTAATATTTCATTTTGTTTTTACTCAGAGAAAACTGTTTCCTTGGTGTCCTCCAACTCCACTGGCTCGTATAATCTTCTGCCTCCTCTTCCACAGGGTTTCCTGAGCTCTGAGGGGCGGGATTTGATGGAGACATTCCATTTAGAAATGAGTGTCCCAAAGTCTTAAATTCTCTGCACTTTTTTTCTGTTGTGGGTCTCTGTTTCTATTCCTATCTGCTACACTGAAGCGTCTCTGATGCTGGCTGAGCAGACACTGATCTCTAAGTACAACAGAGTGTTGTTAGGAATCACTTTTACTCCTAGAGCCGTCTTGCTAGCCTAGAGGACTGAGATCTTTAAATTCTTAACAGATTTCTGAAGTAATGAAAGATGCTCACAGGCACTTTAGATGTACAAATGTGTAGCAAGTGGAGCAAAATATTCTTGTTGTGATAAGAAATTTATAATGTTTTAGAACTAAAGAAGGCCAAAATTTCTAGATTGTTGCTAAAAACCAAGAAGGGAATTCACTCCTTAGGAAAACCTGTTCACTGCTGTTCAGTGAATGATGATGATAGAGCTTTTGTATTTCCGTGGATCACTGACAGTTAAAAAGACCATCTGAAAAATAAGGATTTTATAATCCACTCAAGCACTGAAGATAAAATGGTTTCCAGACATAAAATCATTACAGTCTCTTAGTCGCATTTATTGTGGATAGTATGGATGTCACATGGGTGAATCTGTAGCATCTGAGAAGCTAAGCTTAGATCATTTTTCCACCCAGTTTATTTCAGAGCTAATTTGATTTGGAAACAGCCTCATAATAATTTTGTTTGAGGTCATCTAGGGCCAGCTCAATGCCAAAGGCATTATTTTTGTGACAAGCCAAAAAGAATTCTATACTACGATGATGGTATGAAATGGTTTATTCTGTCTGGTTTTCTTTTTTGGAATATTTTTATATTTTTGTTTGTTTTGTTGTTGTTTTGCTTTTCATGCATGTTCATGTGTATGTATTGTATGTGTGTGTCTGTGTGTGTATCCTGTGCATGCAGTGCACTTAGAGGTCAGAAGAAGGCATCATATCTCCTGGAACTGGTGTTACAAATGGTTGTGAACCATCATGTGAGTCCTGGGACGAGAGCCTGGGTTCTCTAGAAGAGCAGCCAGCATTCTTAACCACTGAGCTATCTCTCCAGCCTTCTTCTGTCTTTCTGAATGATATTTATTTCCAGCCTGTCATTTTCATATAAACAGACTGTTCGGAAATTATCTTTTCCTCTCTTATTTAATGGATGATCATCTAATTGAGGGAACTTGCCCATTTCAGCGTTGTTTCTACCATTCTTTAGATAACACTGCCTACTCCTCTGGTCTTCAGTGTTCACTCTTGATTAAGGGTATTGATTTGCTGTCCTAACTTTTAGAAGGAATGTTACCAACCTAATTTTGAATACTCTGAAGGAATACAGCATACACATGTTTAGTGAGAATCTGATTTTTAGTATACTCTAACAAAAAGACATTAGCAAGGATAGCACACTATACTCTTCTTTGCAAACTTTATGATAGCTTTAATTAGCAGGAACAATCTAATGATATACTACATAGTATATTTACAGATTAAACAGGTAAGTGAGATATGCTAATGAATGTATTTAAAAGTATTATAATGGATAAGAAATGGAGATCACATTTTTAAATTATTATGTATGAAATAAATAGCACTATAGCTGAATTTTGATACTATAAATTCACCAAAGGTGCAACTGTATTTGGTTGTTTTTATTTTCCTAAGCCTTGTCTGTATGTCTGTGATACTTTTATATTATTTATTTTTAAGACTTATTTTAATCTGTGTGTGTGTGTGTGTGTGTGTGTGTTTGTGTGTGTGCACCCGTGCGTGTCCCACTCCCATGCATGTGTGTTGTCGGGAAATATGTGCAGATAAATGCAAACAGGAAGGTATCAAATTCCCTGGAGCTGGAATTAGAAGTGTTTATAAGCTGCCTGATGTAGGGTGCTGGAAATAGAAATCTCAGGCCCTCTGCAAGAGAACTATGCATTCTTCAACAGAGAGCCACCTCCACAGTCCTTTTTTTTTTTTCCTTAATTGATAACTTCTGATTAGCTGTAAATTTTATTTAGTTTTTTCATATTGTATCTCTCTCTGTCAAACACACACAAATTCAGGGGCAGAAGACAGATTAAATAAGCAGTCTTCATAGTTTATATAACAATGTTGTGTTATTTTTACTACATTGATGAACTATGATTGTTTTAGCTATTTCTTATTTGTTCATGTAATTAATTTTAAAAAAATTTACACTATGCATAGTAATGCAAGCCTCCAATTGAAGTAGTCAGGATGCAAAAACAGAAGGATTGAGTCACTTTGTAGCTAGCCAGTCTACATAGCAAGTTCTTCTACATAGTGAAGCCTTGTCTCAGAAAAAAAGTGAATAAAACTACATTACCTAAAAATTTTATGGTGCTAAAAACCATTTTTTGATCAGATTTTTAGTGTCTTCAAGCCACAACACCCTTGACAGTTGTTAAGAGTTTGGTTTGGTTGGTAGTATATGCTCTCTTTTTTTTTAATATTCTGTATGGACACCACAAAATCTACTTTTTATCAAATTGATACATAGAATTCCTAATTCTGAAAGCATAGGTATGTTGGGTTGAACATATTTTGGGGATATAGTTATGTGGCTGAATATTTTGCTTGAAAGGTGTTCTAAAACTGGTTACACTTTGTCTTTACATCGATATTTGAGGCAGATGGGTAGACTTCACTCCTGTAAAGAGCTAAGAGTCTTCACTGGCTCTTACTTGAAGATGTTCACTGTGCTTTCTTAAAACAAGGCTTAGGCTTAGTTTTTAATCTATTTCTTTTAATATGGCAATCAGTCACTTAATATAATCTATTATAATCTATTATTTGTTTATAATCTAAATAAAATTTAATATCCCAATGGATACATAGATGTGGGCAGAGGATAGTGCGTCATATATTAACTGAGAAGGCCTGGAAAGACAGTTCTTATCCAACAAGACTTGGCTTACAGGTGTCAGTGACATCTTTTTCTCTTGGTCAGGTTCTCCCTTCCCTTTTCTTTTCATGCTCAATTTTTAAAAAGTATCTTTGATTTTCTCCTAGAAAACAAACTTGAAGCAGATGGACAATCTCATGCCTTTAATGGTGACAGGACAAGATTCGTCTTGTGTGCCCAGTGTACCAGAGACAGATGACCAGTTCCTTCCCTGTGTACCAGAGCCTTCTAACCAACAGCAGCTTCCTTTTGAAGAAACTAAGAGCACTCTGTGCTGCCAAGGGAGTCCTGGGAGGAAAGCTGAAAGTTCCTGTGATTTGTCAAGTGTGGTTGAGGAAGAAAATGTTGTCTGTTCTCATAAGAAAAATAAAGCTGCGAGGAGAAAACGGGAAGAGGCGGAGCCAGCATCTGCCATGGACTCCAGGTCTGCATCTCATCAAGACAGCTGCCTTCAGAACATACCCGACTGTGGAGTGAAGGGCAGAGAAGGCCTTCCATCCTGTGGAAACAGAACCGAAGTAACTGGAACAAAATATTCTGGAGTGGCCACATGTCAGCAGCCACTGAGCAGCACGAGCAGTGTGCTGCAGGATGTCATGGTCACAGAACCAGATGCATGCCAGCACTCTTCTGGAAGGGAGCTACCAGTCAGTTCTTCAACAGATGTTGCTGTCCCAGAAAAGGCAGGGGAACTGGAACATAGCCTACTTACCCCAGATGCTACCACCCAGAGCAATAAGCCTCAAGTAGGGGAAGGCATAAAGGAAAGATGTGAGAATTCGGACATTAGCACAGCTGAGGTGACTGCTGTTCAAGTTTTATGTGAACCCTTAGAGAAAGCTGATATTACAAACCATGTCTTTGGCTCCAGTGCCATGGGTGCTAACACTCCTGCTGTGGCTTCAACTGCATCAAGTCCTAAAGAAATCCCCATTGAAAAACCAGGAATGGAAACTCAGGAGAGAACCTGTGAGGGGGGAACCACAAGTGACCAGAGCTCCCAGGTGCTTCCTGCTGCTGCTGTTGCTGCTACAGAAGACAAGGTTTTCGGTGGACTAGAACCTCCCCTAGTAGCCCTTTGTGAGACAGCATCACCCTTGGATTTAACCATGTTGGGGCCACGATCAGATGGGATGCCAAAACAAAACTCAGAGTCTAATGCACATGCACGGCATGCTGAGAGCCTAAATAGCCAGGCCCTGCTCTGTTCTCCAGCCGGGTCTGGCACGCCTTCTGCTGAGTCTGCATGTCAGCAGAGCACAGTAACTTCTAGTGGGGGGTTGGTAGTAGAACATGGCAGTGGTAAAGCTAGCCTGCCTGATAGCACAACAATTCAGCCAAATACGCAAGATCTTTGCACCACCCTCTGCCCAAAAGACCCACAAGCTGACACAGTCACTTCTGACACAGTGAAAAATACCCAGAAATCTTTGGAGTTTTGTCATCTCTGTATTTTAGATGCAAAAAGTCAAGAGAAAGATTTGAAACAAGATACACCTTTAACGAATGTGCTTGAGGATGTTCCACATCTGCCTTCAGTTGTCCTCCAAACTCAGAGAAAACTAGTGCCAGACCAGGTATCATCTCCAGGCAGCAGTTTCTCTCTGGCGAGGAGTCCAGAGAGTGAATCAGTAACCAAAGATGACGTACTTTCTCTTGTCCCCTCCCAGAAAGAAAAGGGAACAGCAACTCCTCAGCCCCATAGAGCTACAGCTTGTAGCGATGGCCCAGATGGAAGAGATTTGAATGATACCGATAAGGTACGAGACGGGGCCTCTGGCCCACCTACACCCTCTGCTGTAGAGCTGCAGACCAGCATGGGGAATACCAGCCTTGTAGGCACTGGTGGAGAACAGGAGGGTTCCAGCCCAACAGCAACACTTGAAGTGCTGAGCGACTCTTTACTACAAGGCACGGATAAAACTGCTTTGGTTTCTGACTCTCTTCTGCCTGAAGAAGGTGACAATGTAGTGGTTCTAGACAGTTCCACAGCTCTGGGGCAAGATGGCAAAGATAAAGCAATGAGATGTTCTTCTGTTAAAGAAGACACGCATTCTTCAGAAATGTCAAGGGAAGACCAAAGAACACCACCTCCTGGGCAGGAGATACCAAGATTATGTGAAAAACCTGTATCAGCCCTCTGTGCCGAGGAGAAAGCACTGCAGCACAGTAACTCACCAGACACACCCTCTGCCTGTCTGAAAACAGAAACTAAACACAACAAGGAAGTGGCCCCACAGGTCTCCCAGCCGACTGAAGGTGAGGCTGTAAAGAGCCTAGTGCCACCAAGAACGAGTCTGTCTGCCGATTCAAAGCAGAAAGCCTCGAGTACAGAGCAGAGCGGCTCATCTCTGTTGCCAAGTCAGCTGCCGGGTGCGTCTGAGGCACTCCATTGTAATCAGCCTTCTGCTCTCAATGTTGGTGTGGAGAATACTCAGTTCCAAGGGGAAACTAATGCTTGTGAGGTAAGCAGAAATGTAATGGAGGATGTTACAGTGGCTGATGCTTTACCAGCTACTGCTGAGCCCAGAAGAGAGGATACATCACACTGCATCAAAGAAATCACAGTTTCAGAGTTGTTAAACCAAGAGAAGAAAATGACTCCAAGTTTGCCAGAAGTCTTACTGGACAAAGGTGTCACTGACTTACAGGAAGTCATAACCCCAGAGATAGAACCACTTGATTGCAAGAGAGAGAAACTGGAGGGAACAGAACTTAGCTGTGCCACAAGTAACTCCAAAGAGACCCCAAATGATGAAGAAACAATGCAGCCTCTGACCAGGGACCTCCCTACAGAGACAGGGCTCTCAGCAATCAATGACAATGTCCCCCAAGCTGACGTGAAGCAAGTGGCACAGGCCTCAGTCCCAGCAGAGGAAAGTAATGCCACCACTGTACTTGGAACGGTCTCAATCCAGGCTGCACATGTGCCTACCAAAGCAAACTCCATAGAGGAGACCGCCACTAGGATAGTGGAGGCTGTCATCAAGCGAGCCAAGGCCTCCAACACACTGATGACGAAAGTAGAAATTCCTAATCCATCACTGTCCAGTCCAGAGACTAAGCAGCTGGACAGTGCTTGTACAGAGAGTACATGTGCTTTCCTACCTGGGGAGATCCTGCAGATGGAGAATACTCAGAAAGAAACCACTGGACACTGTGGTGTTGAGACAGAGGAACCAGAGAAAATTATTCTACCTGTCGACAGGCCTGAGCCAGCACTAGGTAAGCAAAGTAGTCTCTTAACAGCTTAGGAAGCACATCTCTGTTATGTACTAGAATGTCGATATTGTTGGTTTGAGATCCTGCTTGCTCAGTCATGTATTTTGCCACGTTAATAGTCTGCTGTCAGGAAACACGTGTCATCTTGGGTTGGACAGATTTTTACTTCCTGTATTATAGGCACAAAGCTTTTTTTTTTTTTTAAGCCTACATTCTCTGTCACACTGGAGCCATTGCAGTTTCTAAATCCGGAAGACAGTACCTGGATCTCGGACAGCGTCAGATAATCAAACAACTTAGTTCTTTTCTTTAGAACCCCAGAATGTAGTGCTGAATTAACGTGCTTTGTTTACAAGTTGGAAACTTTTCCAAGTCATAGTTGTCTGTATTGTAAGAGAATTAAAGTTGGGCCGATTTCATGATCAGCTGTTTTTGAGAAGTATTGTATTAAATGAACATCTAAAACAGTGATATTAGGTCACTGGTTAAGTTGGGGATGTGTACTTTCTCCTTTTCCTGCCTGAGAAACAGACCTCCAGGTTTGCTGCTTCACTTTTGGGCAGAGTCTGGGAATTCAGGGTCCTGCACAGCACAGGGGATAGGATACAGGATTTCCGCCCAAGCCCAGTCTGCTGCACTGCTGTCACCGGGCAGACCTGGTGTCTGCTTATCTTGGTGAAGCAGCTGCACTAAGCAGATTGCTCAACACAAGCAGCCTGTTCCATTGATGGGTAACCATGTCCAGAGAGAGCAGAGAGAAGCCACCATTGCTCAGTGGAATGAAGTTACTGAATAGAACTTCTTGTGGCCTTTGAGACTGAAGCTGAAACTGGAGTCGGAATGGTTGTCAGTCTTGTCTTCTGAAGTCCGGAAGGTCAGTTAGATGCAGCCTTTTATGCCACCACTACCTGCTACCAGCTATACTGTAGCCCTGATGCTTTTATGATAGATTTTTTTTTTAATATGTTAGCAATGCTTTTAAGTGTAATACGTGTTAGATTGTAAGTATGGGGCTTGGAGAGAGATGAACGAAAATAAATTGTTTCTGGAGAGGGGGTTTAAACACTGTAAGTACTATGCCCAGATGAAGGGCTTTTTTAGCTGTTTTAAACCCCAACTTCCAGAGCAGCAGTTACATGACTTAAGGAAGCTGAGGTGGGTGTTTTGGTGACTTCAGTTTTTTGATACTGTTTTAGGCTGACTTCTATCTCAACACTGAAGTGAGGTCTCTAATTTTTTTAAAGACACACAACAACACGTCTATTTTGGGGGCCTTGGCAGGTTGACATTTCAGAAGCATGGGAGTGGCTGTAAGCTGATGCCTGGCTGTTTTCCTTTCTTTGGGTGCTCTGTCCTTGGCCAGCCTGGATGGGATTATTCCTCCTTCTTGTTCTGTGATCACAGTTTGACCCTAGTAACTGTGAACTATGAAGTGTATGTCTGTAGCACTGCATCAGAAAAGGTTAAAAAAAAAAAGAAAAGAAAAAGGAAACGGGCAGAGTCTTAGACTTCTGTTCTTAAGTATATATAACTGTGGTGAAGATACTAAGAAATGGTGTGAAGTTTTTAAGTCATGAAGAAGGAAGTTTTTAAAGTTAATATGATTTGGGGGTTGATATATTTTGTGTAGGTAAATTACTTGTTTTGTTACCAAAAGAACTCATAACAGGCTTGGTGCTCAGCCTCTAACTCCAAAAAAAAAAAAAAAAAGTAGTCACTGGTGAAGACATTGGTGCTTTCTTCATGAAATAGCCAGGATTAAGGAAAGTCCCTGGTCACATTGCCTTAAAAACAAAACAAACACACAAACAAAAAAAGCACCTGAGTGTGATCTCATAGTCAAGGGTATTTTTTGTGAAGGTTACATTCTGCTCATGGATTGTTTTCTGAGTCAGTTAGCTGTTGATTTGGGAGAAGCCTGTTAGAAGGGAATGTGAACCTTTGCCTCTTGAAAACCATTGATTGATCACTGTGCTGAGCAAACCAAGGTTGTCAGCGCTTGACTAAACCAAGCCAGTCCTGCAGAGTCTCAGTAATCAATATTTACTGTTGTAGCTGGTACATATTTTCCATTGATTGGGTATAGTAAAGTTAAAGTTATACTAAAAATCACATTCCTGAATAAAATAAAAGCCATAACCATACCCCTCTTTTATAATACACACAGTTTTTCTCTTAGAAATGTTTTCTTCAAGGGATTTTGTAAAGGGATTCCTTAATCAGATTTTTAAAAATAAAACTTAATTGTATGAAAGCTAACAGATTTTAATTTTCTGCACAAGCAAACATGACTACCTATTTTAAATTGCTAGCAAAGTTGTATAATTATAAAGGAAAAGACAGAAAGAACTTTGAATGTTCTTTTGTTAGGAATGTGACTTCACAATCTAAGACCTTCTGGAGGATCACACTTGTTGTTAGAGTGAATGACCTTAATGTTTTATTCTTGAATGACAGATACCTCATTATTTTAGACAGGGGGTTTTTTATGGCCAGAGAACTAGTGTTGCTGGATAATCAGCAACCACATAAAAATGAGACAGCATTTGCATTTGGAATATCAGGGTAAATTTTGATTATTCAATCTTTCCCCTTTAAAGAAGTGTCAGAAGACTAGATTTGCCTTGAACATCATTATCACGTCGTGCTTTCACTTGACCATGTCGTGGCCCAGTAGGAGAAAATATTACTGTAGGGTCTGTTGAGAGGATGGTCAGTATGGGGACAGACTATTAAATACTAAAATAGAACAACAACAAAAAATTTAAAAAGCTTTTTCAGGAGGAAACATGTTTCTGTTTGTTTGTTTGTTTGTTTTGGTTAATTGGTTGTTTTTCTGCTTTTTTTTTTTAACCAGCTTTTACTTCTGGAAGAAATAATAGTTTAAAAAAATTTTTACTGAAATTGTCCAGTTTTATTGTTTAAACCTATGCATAGATCAGGGTCGGTAACACATTTTTAAGAGATTCTAGTCGCAGAAGCTTTACCTCAATAAACTGAAACTTGTTTAGCTCTAGCCTCATTTAAAATCTGGGAATCTCCTCACAGATCCATGTGATGAGGAGTAGCTCACCATGGGGTCAGAAACGGCACCAGCTCCTGACGTTCAATGGAAAAACAAACAAAGCATTTGAAACCTGGAGTTTGTTGTATAAATACTAAAGCACCTAGGAACCTTCTTCTTCTTTTTTTTTTTAATTAAATGCACTCATTCTGAATAACCCATGTTTACTTCAGAAATGCCAGACACCAAAACTGGAGATGAAGTGGATCTTGTGAGTAAGATCAGTGCTGCTTCTGAGGAGGAGGCTGTAGGAAATGGAACTGCCACACCCAAGATGAAGCAAGGCCCAGGGACCCAGGCGGTAAGCGACATCTGCAGGCCTGCATGGACAAAATGTGTTCAACTTGATCTCCTTGTGGGCTACAACCTTAGTTTTTGTTATAGGACAGGATAGATAGAGGATTTTACCCTTTCTTTCTTGTTTTGCTTTTGAAATGAATGGTATGTTATTGTTAAACTTGTATTGGTGTCATCAAAGTTTTGGAGTGGTCTCTCCTACATGAATCCTTTGGAAATTACGATGAAAAACATTTTCTCTGTGAGCACAAGACTTTGAAATTGGTCACTACTTTTATCACGATACAATGAGAATGTCCACTGAAGGGCATCCATGCACCCGATTAATCCTGACTTCTTGATGGTATGTCTCCATTGTGAAGCTCAGTCTCAGGTGTCTAAAATATAAAGAATATCATTATTAGCAAAAACTCAGATGAGTAAATGTTTTTCTGACAGCTTCATGAGGATTAGTACATTAGCAAAACCACCATTCAAATAAAATATGCTTGGTTGCCCTTTATAGTTACAGAATTGTACACCCACCACCGCCTATATTTCATTTTTTGAGATATATTAATGCATATATTTATTTTGCTCACATGTGTGTCTGTGTACCACGTGTATACAGTGCCCACACAAGAGGGCATCAGAAGAGCAGCCAAAGCTTTTAACTACTGAGCTGTCTGTCTGTCCAGCCTGACTGTTATCTTCTTTATAACATGCCTGCTGGCAGTCTGCCCTACGTCTCTTGCTTCCACTCACTTGCTGGCAGCCAGGAATCTAATTTCTCTTTCTTATCCATTTGCCCATTCTTGAACTAAATACGAATGGAATTATAATGCATGTGTTCATGTTGTCTAGCTTCAGTGACTTAGCATAGTATTTTGATGTTTTATTCATGTTGCAGCATTGATTATTGCCAGATAATATTTTATTGTAAAGATGGCATATATTATAAAATGCTTTATGTTTTGAGCTATTAGAAATTATGGGCTTCTATGACATTATACATTATGTAGACATGTTTTTGCATACCCAGCAGTGGAACTGTTGTACCCTGTAGTTATTCCAAATTTAATATGAATATTAAAGTTTTAAAAACATTTATGATTTTAATTACTGGAGGGTGGGTCTATGTGTACATGAGTGTGTAGGATCCCATGGAGCTAGAGTGATGTGGGTGCTGGGAATGGAACTCAGGTCCTCTGGAGAGCTGCACATGCTCCTAACCTCCAAGCCATCTCTTCAGCTCCTTCAGTGGGTTTTTAAAAACATTTTTCTTCTGGCTTAAAGTTCCTAACTAACTTTCAGATCAAGGAAACTTTCCAAAAAGACCTTGTGCTCTATACTTTGGAGTTTGTGTGAGACAAAGACAGACTTTTAGAAAGCTGACTAACAAATTAATGTACTCGTTTCTACTGCCCTTAGAAAGTGACCTGACGGTGTATTAATTTTGCTTTTCTAAGGCCAGAATGGCATTTCTTGTTAAAATTACCCCAGTAGGTAACCGGAACTGTACTATCCCCAACCTCTTGCGGATATGGAGCCTTGTTTTATTGGAGTACAGCGGTTAAGCAGGTGCTAGCTGTTGTAGTCCCCAGTCATCTCCCCCCACCACCACCCTCCCCCTCCCCCATGTGGCTGATGATATTCATGACTAGGACCTGGGTGTTTACTTCTATAACAAGCATTTTTCAGACAATGTTGCTTTTCCTCCCAAGGAGGAAATGAGAATAAAAAATTTGTGGGTGGATGCGTCTTTGTTGTAGAAGCCCCTAAAAAGAGAAGGAACAACCTCATGTCCTTGCATTCAGATGCCTCTAGTTCAGTTTGTTTTCTCCTCTCCCAGTTCTGTTTTTCCTATTTCTTCCTGTGGTTGTAGGAGTTGAGAGAAAGAATACTTTCACTGTTTTTTAGCATACCTCATTTACATGAAAAGGAGTAGTGCCTAGAAGAGTCATGTGACTGGCCTTAGAAACAGGTGGAATCTGGTGGATTCTCTTCTATCTTAGGCGTTAGGGACTCTCTTATCTTATACTTTGTGTCCACTTCTACCTGGTACAGAAAACATACGCCAATTCAGTTTTCAGTGTTTAAAAGATTTTCAGGTGTAAATAATGAAAGTTTCTGTATTGACCGTGTTACTAAAATTTTACTCAAAGTCTGACCATTCACCTCTCCCATTGCTATTGTGCCCAGACTTGCTCTCTCTGCCGTGCATTGAAAGGACAAACCGTGAACACAAGCTTCAATGTTTCCTGGGTCTTTCTTTCGATTCCAACCCGGTTCTTCTGTTTCATCTACTTACTATATTTTTACTGAGTCAGAAGAAAACTGAGGTCTGTTGAAAGTTTTAAACGCTGCAGGACATATAGTCTTTCCCCTAACTTGTCGCCTTTGCTCTCACAGTGGGAAAGCAATAGTAGACAGTATTTGAATGAACGACTGTTTCTGTGCTTCAGTGAACTCTTGTTGATTGACACTGAATTTTGAATTCCATATGATGTTGACAACAATAAATATTTTTGTTCAAAAATTTTCAGTCGTTAAAAATATATAATCTGCTCTCAGAGCTTTCTTTCATGGTCTATAGAAAACCAGTAGTGGGTTACCAGCAAGGAGTGTGTTAACCTCTGGCAAAAAAAATACAAACTGTGTATCAGTGCAAGCAAGCTGACTTCTTTGTTTTTCCATTCCCGTCTCTCTTCTCTATTTTCCTTTTTAAAAAATGTTAAGTGTGTTTGTACCTATGGTGTACCATGGTGTTTATACATATGTAATGGCAGCATTGGAGAAGCTGAGGCAGGAGAATTGCCATAAATTCAAGGCCAATCTGGGTTATGTATATAGATACATGGTCTTAACAAAACAAAAACAACAAAATTGTTCTCTGGTGTAACCCCTAATCACTATACTGTAAATTGGGTAAGGGAGTTCTGTCTGTTCTGAACTAGATTTTTGCCTTAGCCTCTATATAATTCAATTTTCTCATCTCTGTTCACCATCATTGTAGATTTAACTAACGTTGTACTGTCTGTATTTGGGAAAGGGTTGACTGAATTTGTGATTGTGGGGGGTGGAGTGGCATTTGTTTAATGTTATTTAATCCAAACTTTCTGACACATACCCAGGCTTTGTGTTGGGCTTGGGAATAGGCCAGTTACTGCTTCATTGAATTATTGCTTCGTTGACTTGTTCTCTTCCAAATAGAAAACAGAACAAACCCATCTGTCTGATGACCTACAAGTCTAAAATGATAGGTAAATGTAAATGTGGAATCGATTTGAAGAGAAAACTATGGTTGATTTCCAGTTTTCATAGTCCATTGATCTAATGCTTGAATTGCAAACCAAGCTGTCTGTATTTCTTACTCTTTAGACTATTTAAGTGTGTGCTAGAATGCTGATTTTAGATAACAAGTGCTCTAAAATCGTGATACATACAGGAATTAGTCAATATTAAGATTGGTGTTTACTTGTAGTCTCAGGAAAAACATGTACGTTAAATTACACAGAGTACTCAGAATCTCTAGGTTGAAAATTGTTCACAATCCAGGAGGCAAAGCTGTTAATGTATGGATATGGGTCACTCACATATAGTATTTTATGATTGCTATTCGTATTGTCAGTGTTTTATTAATAGTTATAATTCAGTATTCAGCATTGCTTTCTCTTACATACTTTTCTAATTTTCGGAGGTCTCTAGATTATCTTCTGTTGCCTTTTCACCCTTGAGGGGGAGATGCTCAGAACCATCTGGCATGCAAGCACACACAGCTTCCACCTTAACATTGCTATTATTGGATTATTTAATAACTTCAGATTCTGATATCCTGTTCATCTAAATAAGGAGGATTCAGGCTCTGTTTCTTTCTATTAGCTTATATAATCAAAGCTTCAGGAATAATATCATACAATAATTTAGCTTGGGAGATGGGAAACTTAGTTTATTTCTGAGACTCTGAAGAGTTGAAAGGACCTTAAAGATTATGGGGCATTTCGCTCCGTAGAAGAGATTCAGAAATAAAATATTCAGCCATTAGTTAAACTGTCATCTGTGCTGGAACCCAACCTTGTGCTGCTAAATGCTTCCTTTATGTTGTTGTTCTTTTTTGAGGAGTCATCCTCAGGGTACTCACTTGGTTTATGACCCATTTTTCTCTTTAAGATAAGTATCCCTAATAGTGCTTTATTACATACTTAAATTCTAACCCACTATGTTAACTCTTCATGCTTTCTGTTTCAGTGGGAGGAATTTCTCTTTCTGTTTTAGGATCAAAGTTGATTCGATTTTTAAATGTCATGTGTTGTCTTTACCTATTTAGCTGCATCTAAATATCAAGATAGTATTTATCCTGGTATTTTTCTAGACTTTTATTTTTCCCTCCAGAAGGAATGGCATAAAATGTATAGTGCTGAGTGCCAAGTGGGAATTGAGAGAGATAGTATTGTGTTTGTCCTTGGAGAGACAGAAGTCTGGGTACCATTTACCCTGAGACTGTGCTCCATTGGAGTCAGGGAGACATTTCACATTCAGCTTTCCCTCACCCTTCACTGTAAACTAAAATGTCCTTGTGTCACAGTGATCTTTTATTTGTAAGTTATAGCCCAGTTCATTCAGAAAGAGCTTGCTTCACTCCAGTATCTGTTCATTGAAGATCTCTGAAATAATTCCTTTCTCAAATGCTTACTGCCTACGCTTATTAACCATGTGGAACAGTTAATCCTGAAAGCCGGTGTATCTTGTCAGGATGCCCATAGGCCTAGCAGCCAGACACTCTAGAGCAAATACATTCAAGGACAACTATAAAATCCCATATGTTGAGGATTAGGTTACTGGGAAAGTGTGCTCTTCACTTAACACATTTCCCAAAATCAAGAAAGCATTTTCAGCCAGAACTTCTTTTCCTTTTTTGTAGTTATATAGCTAGACATCAGATTAACTGAATTTCTATTCTTAGTTATTTATACAATATTGCATTTAGTGTTCAAAGCTGTGATCACTGCCATCGTCATCTTGAAT